AGCTACGGACATATGAGCTCGTCATTGACATCGCCTGTACTGCTATAACTCTACTATTCTGGGTTGCGTCTGTGAACGGCGGTGTAAGTGTAGCGCAAAAATGTTGCACAGCATTATAAGCGCAGAAACTGAGCACTGCGTTTGTTAAACGGTCGATGTGCCCATATGAAAGCGACGAACTGTTCGGGCTAGTTATAGGAAAAATTGAAAACACTTTGTCCATGAAAACGAGCAGCAGTATTTATGCAAAGCACCAGCTCTAGCTGCATGACTAATCCCACTAACTTCTCTGAGAGCAGCTTCGTTACTTAAAACTGACATCATTATAAACTTGTATTATAAATAAACAATAAGTACAGTGTAAACACCAAAGTTCAACTATGAAAGATACCTGTATTGTTTGATCAGCGCTAAGTGAAATTATAGAGGCACGTGCAATTGAGCCAGGGCCGGCGACAAGCCGGGGTCTGTCCTTATTTGGTTGTGGTATTAACGACAAAACATCAGATGCTGTTCGATCCAAGAACTCCACAGCAGTTACAAAAATGCCGTGCGTTTCCTAAAAAGAAATAATCAATTAAAAGTTATTGAAAAGAAGATTACTCATTGTTACCTTGAATGCAGCGAGTTGCTTCAATTCATGTGTATCATAAATGAAGACACTTCCACCCATAGAACCCATACCCGTGAAATTTCCACAAGAACTGACGCACAAAGATGCTATACCCTAAAAAGGACAGGTTACAACTGTTAACTACTGAGGGTTCGAACAAGAAGTAGCACTGATAATATTTAGGACACTCACGTCCCCTTGACCAGTACTCCTTCCAACAATTTTTCGGATGGCGTTGCGTTCTCGACTGTAAACCCATAACGCTAAGAATGAGACCCGCTTCGAACTCAAGGAAACAGGATTGTATCCGGCAATGAATACAATATTACTGCCCGTTCCAAGTGAAGTGCACCGAACAGACCGCACCTGAAATATTCAGGTAAGAATACTCGCGGCAATCTAAAAAAAACTGAGAAA